TTGTAAGCTTAAAATAGATTCTTATTAACAATATATTATTAAAAATACATTTATAAATAAAATAGAACTGGGAATGGTTATTTGCGGTTTAGCCTAGTGAGAAGTAAATTCGAATTACGTTGTTTTTCGACTTAAGTCGCCTCTCCTGGAACCAATTACTGATGTAAGGAGAGGCATATCTGTAATTAAATTAATATTTAATAAATAAATTAGAATATTCTGGAAGAAAAGAATCAGCTTGGAGAGGGACTTGAACCCGCAACTCCTGCTTACCATGCAGATATGTTCCCAGTTGTTGGAATTGTGGGTTCAAGTCTTGCTCCAAGTTGATTCATGTGCTATACCTTTAGTGCTTAATAATAATAATAATAATAATAAATTTCAATGTTTTAACTGTTTCTGAAAAATGGGCCTCTGAAAACTGAGTGTTTGGCTTATATCATTGGAAGTTTCATATCTTCACAGAACAGTGATGGCTGAGCAGATAAAATGTTAGGTATTGGAGCTGCTGAATATAGGTTTGAGTCTTTGTAATTTTAGTTTTGTTTTATGTGTAACATACTTATTTTATTTTGTTATATCATTAGCATTGTTATGAATCACATTTAAAAGCTCATAAAACTAGCTTTAAACCTGTTGTCATTTCCTATTTAGTGAAAAAGTCGTCTTTGTAGATTTTAACTCTTATGCTGTTAAATAAAATTTTTATTTCTTATTTATTTTCACATATTTTAGCTTGTGATTACATACTATGTCACCACAAGCAAATAAACTTCAGACATTACTGCTCATGAACTAAAAAGACAAGTCTGATATGAAAAAGGGTAGCACACTTGCAGTGTTTTTTTAATTGTTAATGTTACGGACAATTTCCTCATGCACTTGTGTTTGTTACACTTTGAATATGACAATATCATCAGACCTGAAAATAAATATTAAAAAATAAAAAAAAATTTTATTTAACAACATTATATAGTTAATTTAATTAAATATATAGAAACTTTGCTAAACAAGTAATGATGTCATAATTTTTCCTATAATACAGAGATTTTTGCTAAACAGGTAATGATGTCATAATTTTTTTATCTTTTGTTTTATAAGCTTTAAATGTGAGGAATAATAAGAGCAATAATAATGTTAATGATACAGTAAAAAAATAAAATGAATTTTACACATAAAATAAAAAAAAAACTAAAATATTGCAAAAGTCCAAACCTACATTGAGCAGCTCCAGTGAAGGCTGAATAGATGAGGTACTAGGCATAGCATCTTATCCATTCAGCCATCACTGTTCCAAGAAAAGAAAGTTAAACACTCAGTTTTCAGAAGCCTGTTTTTTGGAACTACTTCAAAAGTGGGTTCTATTATTTGGACAAGGAGCTGTGTGTGTTTAAGGCTGTGTGTTCAAATCTTAGACTCAAATGTCAAACTCCCTCCTTATTAGTAAAAATCCCATGAATTTATGTTTGGAACACAGAAAGAAAAAAAATAGTCACTTATCAATATAACTGCCTTGATAATTAAAACACTCTTACACTCACAAAATTTCTTTTACAATTCATCAAGGTCAACAAATTCTTGCAGTTTTAATATATCAACTGCATTTTCAAAGCTAGAATATTCTAGTTGTAATTGCAATATAATTATAATCTTCTGGGAGTTTTAAAATAAAATCTTTTGATGTGTATGAATGTGAGAGCAAAGGAAGAAATTGTCTTACAGGCAAAAGAAAAACATATGCCATAAAATTATATATACAATGGGTGATCAGTTAACGAACAGTTCAGACTGCAAACAAGTCAGACAACGAACACTTTCATGAAAGATTTTTATGTTTAGACAACGAACACTTTCATGAAAGATTTTTATGTTTAGACAACAAAAACCTGACAGAACAAACACAAGAAGTGATGCTGCTTTTCATATTTGTAAAACTATATTTTAATGGCATCTATACATGGTTTGTGGAACGAGACTTTCTCAGTTATATACATAACCTTTTCTGCACTAGTTAATTTCTGTTTTCTGAATTTTTGTAAGTGCTTTTCTGAACTTTTATTTAAAAAACTGATAATATTATGGGGTCTAAAAAGAGTGTAGTGTCAAGAACTCTGTTCATTATAGAAACTAAGCAAGAGATAATAGCCAAAGTAGAGAGTGGGCAGAAGATGTCTGATATTGTAGGCAAATGACTTCAACAGGTCTACAGTAGATACAATCTTAGCTAAGAAAGATATAATCAAAAAGACTCAAGCAGATAAAGGAGTAATGAAAATTGCATCTGAGAAACAAAGATGTGCCATCCATGAAAAAATGGAGATTGCTTTTAGTTTGTTATTATATGTAAATAAACATAGTAAGAAAGTATATAATTTTTTATTTACTTTTTGGGGTCTCCAGAACAAATTAAATTCCCACAGAAATCTATGGTAAATCGATAATTGGTTAATGAACTATTCAGATAGCAAACATGGTCTTGGAACGAATTGTTTGTTAACTGATCACCCACTGTGTATATCTATGTATGTATGTATGTATATATATATATATAATATATATTCGATTCTGCTTAATTGGGAATAATCCAATTTGGCCCAATTAAGCAGCTGCCCCAATTAAACAAACTAATAATAAATTCTAGAATCAAACATAGCATCAACACTTTTGACAAAACCTTGTAATTTTAAGTTCAGTGTATTCATATAAATGGAGAGATCTGTAAAAAACATCAAATTGCTGACCCACTTATTCATCTGAGGAAAGTTTGCCAGATCCTTATTCTTAACAAATACTTTAATTTCTTCAAAGCACTCCACAAATCACTCAAGTACTTTATCTCGACTCAGCCATCTCACATTATTGAACATCAGTAGTCCACTGTAGGATGAATCAGCTTTCTGTAAAAGTACAGAAAATTCTCATTTGTGATGGGATCTAGCAGCTATAAAATTCACAATTTTTATTATAACTGACATTAAATATTTCAATTCAGAAAATTCCGATTTGGCTCACAACAACACCTGATGGATAATGCAATGAAAAGGTATAAGTGGATATCTAATAGCTTCCATAAACAATTTTACGAATCCTACATTTTTCCCACCATATTTGCTGCCCCATCTGTCGTAACTGACACAATTTTAGAGATATCAATATTTAAGTCATTAAATGTTTTTATAACAACCTTACATATTTTGTTTCCTGATGTACTTATTGACACTGATTCTAACTTTATCAACTCTTCTCTCATTGTGAGACTATCAGAATATCTAGCAATAATAGCCAATTGAGCATTTGATGTGACATCAGTAGTTTCATCAAGGGAAATCGAAATTACAACTATTCATGCTTTTTTTTAAATTGATGTACATTTTTGTCAAGATCCATTATTTGGTCTTTGATAGTATTTCTACTTAGTGGTTACTCAGAAATTCTTTTAATAACATCATCTTTATTTTTCATATCATGAAATAAAGCTGGCGCACATCTTAAAAATGATTCTTTAATAAATTCTCCATCACTGAGGGCTTTTCCATGCTGAGCTATGGAGTAAGCAATACAGTAACTTGTTGATGTTAAATTTGTAGAGCATTTTACAAATTTAATGATGGAATTTGATTGACTTTTATAGAAGTGTAGCTGCCTAGAAATGTATTCCTTCCTTTCATCGATACTTCTTTTCAAGAGCTGACTATAATTTGTTTCAAAATGTCTATTTACATTCCACATTCTGCTTACTACCATTTCATTACACAGTATGCACAATGATCTATTGTTTCTGTCGATAATTGGATAATTGCGTACAGCTCAGTCCATATGTCTTGAAAAGGCCAGTTACTGCTACTCCCACTTCCTTTATCGTTCAATCTTGCCTTTTTATTTTTTGATTCTCCATTACAAGGCTGTAAAAATAAATAAATATAAATCACGATGTTTTTTTATAAAAGGTTGATATGTTTCTTACCAATTAACTTTTTGCAGTGTTGTTGCACTGACTCCCGATACAAAATAATTTAAAGATGTTCGTAGAACCAACAAATATGTATTTTTTTGTCATATGCAAAATGTCTCAAAGAGTACTGTTGCTCTGTATATCTGGCGTGGACAGATGATGGTAGCATGGCGGAGACGTGGCGCCGACCTTACCTGCTAAAATTAATAGAAGTGGTGGCGATGTGGTGAAAGTACATCTGCGTCCAACGATTATAAAATATTATCTGATTCTGACTAAGATACTTTAGCCCATATTCATTTAAATAATAATCAAGAAAAACGTTTTAGGTTTGTAGTTGTAAAAGAGAAAATAATATGACAAGTATTTGAATTATTCAGCATTTTGTCTGTCGATGTGTGTCACCTCTGACACACATGTCATAGGTTTGCCATCACGGGTCTGGGATTTGTTTTCTTGGTCTGGTTTGGATCCACAAGTCTCTATTGAACAAATCAGGAAGTCAGGACTATGTTAAAGTGCTGGATGACACATGGTTAACCAATTCATCATTTTTCTCTGGTGGTTTGTAAATGTTTTAGGATGATAATACTAAAGTCCATTATGCTTATTTTGTAATGAACTGAACTGGTTCAGGGAGCATAATACTGATTTAATATATTTGTCTGGGCTCTGTGCTGGTTAATTCATCATTCTAATTGAAAATCTTTGGAATGTACTGAAACACTTAATTATATGATATGATGATGATACATTAATGAATTTGGCTGTGCTGAACAAAAATTGCATTAAAACTGGTTGAAAATTGAAGAGGCGGATGTTTCATTCTCAAGAGTATGCCTCAATGGATACAAACTGTAAGCAATTCCAGAGACAATTTACTCAAATATTAGTGTAAAGTCATGGCACTTTAATTGCATATTTTATTAAATAAATCAATTTAATATTGTTTACAGTAATAACAGAAATAATTTTAACATTTTATCTACATTCTACATTTATTTTGGTTGATGATATAATTAATTAACTCTGAAAATATTTTTTTCAGGTTCACATTGTGTCTGATTTTATCCTGCATGCACCTCCAGGAGAATTCAATGAAGTATTTAATGGTAATTTTATTTTTGAATATTTATTATACAGTAAACTTAGAAAATATTTTTTGTATTAAAAACAAATGATAAGAAAATAAGTATAAACTAATTTAAGTTCAAAGTTAAATTTTATTTATTTATATTTTTAAGGGATTTTTAATGTTTTATCTAAAATAATTAATTAAATTAGTTTTAAGAGAATTATAAATTCAACTGGTAAATAACAATAATTCAAAATGCAATTGTTCATATTTATGTACTGTTGACATATTTAGCATTTTTTTGTGTGTCTTTTGTTATTGGGCTGCAATTGAAAAAATTGTAGACCTATAACTTTCCACTGTTGTTTATCTGTCTGTTTGTCTGGCTTTCCTTAATCTTGAGAATAGAGTTATGTGATATCCGAGATCTGGTATGGAAAGCTAAGGGTCGGGAGGCCATGATTAAGCATATACGAACTTCTGCTGTAAACTGGAAGTCAAGTTATTTCAGTTCAAAACTTCCCCTGAAAGCAGTTAATTGCACAACTTTATTGTTAAAGGAAAAGTATGATGTATGGGGGCAAGACACTACAGTTTTAATTTGAGATGGAGAGCATGATTAAAAATTGTAGCCTGGCATTGTGATGATTTCACAATAAATAATTGCTCATTTATTTATATTTATATATTTTCACATAATAATTTTTCCTAGTAATTAATTTCCTGTTGTGATCCATTACCTCTGTAGAAAGAATGTTTTCTTTAAACTTTAAAAAAAAAAAGCTTTGTTCCGTTCTCAGTATTCCTGAAGAAGTTTGCATTAATGAAAACAAAAGTATTTGAAGATTAATTAAATCTGCTGTTTTTTTTCCTTTTTTTTTTTTTTTTTTTAATCTGTGTATTTTAATACAGTAGATCCCCCTATAAGACGGTAGATACGTTTCATTCTTTATGAATCAATTTTGTAGGAATCATAGTTTACGGACTACGGCTGTTTGAAAGGTTTTCTTTCATAAAATTAATCGATTCTAGACTAATTCGACTCAACATTTCCAAAATACGTATATTTTTTTGAAAATAATCCGTATAAACTACGTTATAAACAAAAAATTGTAGGATTGCTTACCGAGTGTGTACCGTTCGACTACGCCCGTTGCTAAAGCTTGGTTTCGTCGCGGAACAGCGCATCAAACCGCGGCCGCGATTTCTGATATTATTTTTCTGCGAAAACTTCGTTGACCTTTGGAGACATCCTTAATATAAATAATTTTTATGGCCGTTAAATAAGAAATGTTTCTTTCACAAGAAATGTATAAAATTACAGTACTGGACAGACGATAGGTCGCCTAACTCGCCGTAGCGTGACGCTAGACGGCGAAAAATATATATTTAATTATAATAAAGTTACAATAAATTAAGTTAATATATAATTATATATACAGTACCTAATTTATATATAATTAATATATAATTATATGTACAGTACCTAATTTATATATAATTATATGAACAGACGATACTAAACTCAATTTATCCGCCTAAACGTCCGTAGCGTGGCGCTACGGACGGCGGGAAAGTAGTTTGGCTGCCCGATGACGTTTTACGTATTACAGGAGTTATTTTTACCGTTGTTTACGGATACTGCCACAATTTTTATAGGAATCATAACTATAGGAAACGGTTTTATAGGGGGATCTACTGTACTCAATTTAAATTTCAAAGTGTCTATTTATACATGCAGTATGTATATGCAATTGGCTATTTATACATATATGTATACTCAATTGGCTATTTAACACTTTTAAAGTCATGACGTAAAGATGACAGTTTTAATGTTGTTTATAATTTATCCTAAATTTCCATTATCAATATCCTAATTACGATATCAATTATTGAGAAATGAGAATTAAAAATAATGGCATTGAGGAAAATTTTGATAGAAAAATATCAAAATTTTATAATACATCGGTGGAAACATGTTCTTGTTCATTTTGGAATTCTTTTAGTGTACCATGTCATCATATACTTATGATAAGAAAATATAATAATTTGGAGATGTTTTCAAAAACTTGCTTTCATGCAAGATAGTGCATTTTTAATTGAAATAATATAAGTATGGATACAGATGATGTAAATGTAGGCATCAATGATCATATTTTGTTGAGTCTCATGTACTACACACCTAGAGTGCATATGTTTTTTGAATCAAACTGATGCAAGGTTACTCTGATTGTATACTTTCTGCTAACTAAAACACATGACAGATTTGAAAGCAAACATTGCAAACAGAATTTTATTTAAATATAAAATTATGTGAATTAGAGAATTCTTGGAATTTCTATAATCTTGCATTTGCAGGTGTATAGGAATGCTACTGGTAATTCAACAATTCAAAACTATGGTTTAATTATGCTTATTTTGTTGATTACATACATAATTGGATACATTTCAGGCTTGCTTATACTTTACAGCCTGTCATCAGTAACTAAAATTAAGAACTAGATATAAGTACAAAATTAAACATAAGTGATAATGAAACTGAACATAATTGTAAACCAAAATAAACAATTAAACCATAGTTTTGGATCATTGAATTACTGGTGGCATCTGCATCTGCAGGCGGTTGGGCAATTCTTGGGAATTCTATAACCCTGCAGATGCAGGGTTATGGAATTCCCAAGAATTTTTAAATTAAAATATAGCTGGTACCCAACACGAAAGGAACTAAAATTATGTAATTGACATAGTGATTTATTCTAGGATGATATTTATTTCAGTGTATTTACAGTATAAATATTCAACTATTTAAAATAATGTTTAACTGTATAACACCGGGATGTAAATAAAACTTACAACGCACCAACCAATCAACTGGTGTGAATAATATTTAAGTGACAAACGTTTTTGTTACCCCTTCTAGGCACTTCTTCAGGTTAATTCTTATTTCAAGTAGGCTGGCCGTTGACATTCGAAAATTAAGTGACAGTGTCTTCATTCGATTTATTTTTGAACGCCAACGGCCAGCCTACTTGAAATAAGAATTGGCCTGAAGAAGTGCCCAGAAGGGGTAACGAAAGCATTCCTCACTTAAACGTTATTCACACCGGTTGATTGGTTGCTGAGTCATAAGTTTTATTAAAAATAATTATTTAAATGCAAAATTTATATGGAAAAAATATTTACATTTTTATTATTTGTTATAATCTCTGAAAGACAGAAAATATATTCAAAATTAAATATATTTATCTATAATACTCCCACTTAATTTAAGTATTAATTTTAAAAATATTTTTAGATGTGCGTCTTTTGCTTAATAATGACACACTCTTGAAAGAAGGAGCTTCTAGGTATGTAGATTTTTAAGATATTTTACAATACTGTGTTATGTAATTTTTATGGTAATATAAATTAAAATTGCATGTCTTCATTGTATAAATTAGTTTCTGTGTAGTCACAAAATATACTTTCAGGGATCTCACTAGCAATTTTAAATCTAGTTTTTTTGTTAATATTGTTTTTGAAAACAGTAGCAAAATTCAAAATTTTTTAGCAAAACTGGTAATGCAAAAAAATAAAGCTTTGGCATAACAAAAATTTTAGATTTTTTGATATCAGCCAGTACAAAATTAGAAATGTTGTTACAAAGATTAAAACTTACTCATAGTCTATACTAAGATCACAACTGAAAGAGTCTGTTTCTTTTGGTACTATACAGTGAATTTTCTTTGACATGTACATTGAGTGATATATTCATCAAATTGTTAACATTTATTAACTTAAGTATATTGCTTGTTGGGGTTTTATTGAGATTAAATTCATTAAGTCATACTCAAAGTCAACAGTATGTTCTGAATTTAAAGGGCATATTTTGAAATGAGGAAGATATGAGGAAAATCAGAAACTAAGTCATTTGTGACCATTAACTGGTGGATGCCTGAGAGAACAGAGGTCCTTGTGCCTGCTGATAAGTATTCTTTTCTGCTCCATTCCACAAGCAATTCATTCTTTCCTATATTTAGCTGTGATTGCAGCAAGGATGAATCTGTGATATTTCTTAGTTCCCAAAGTCATAAAAAATGAATTTGTACTATTGATGTAGAATTCTAGGTAGCAAGACTGTTAACAATTGCAGCTTTCTAAAATCGGAAAAATTTTTCTTGTGGGTTTGTTATAAGATAATGCAAAAAGGTTTAATGTACTCTTTCCAATGCTGATGTTCTTTCATATTATTCTTTATAATTTTTTTTTCAAATTCAATCTTACCTAATGGTTGATCTCTCTTCAGGAACTTTGTCTAAGAACTCTTTAAATGCAAGATCATTTATATTTTGCAGTGATTTCAAGTAGGCAATTGTAAAGTACAGTACATGTTATTTAATTCTCAAAAGTTTTAAAAGTTTTTTTTTGTAACATGAGGCAAATCTGTTGTAACACATTGAGAATGTCAGTTAAGCCGAAATGGCAACAAATTTGTAACAGCCTACACTTTTTAGCCATCCTAGGCCAACTGCTGATTTGTCCTGACAAAGACAAGTCTAAAGAACAACAGATACTAATGCTGACCATGTCTTTAATATAACTTGAGCACTTGAGTTTAAGCTTAGCCAGCATGTTGAGAAAACTTGGATATTTTTTTTCAGTAATACTCAAAACATCTTGGAAACTTTGTAATAGTCTAATTTTATTTTTTTTGCTTGATAAAAGTACTGGAATATTTTGTTCAATACATCTTGGTATTTCACTAGCTCTAAAACTTCAGAAAAAAAAAAACTGTTGTATACGGCCCACTGGATTGCGCAGGGGCCATATGTTGAATTATGCATTATGCACCGTATGTTGAATTATGCACCATATATTGATTCAATATATGGTGCAACCTTTTTCAACATAATTATAATGCCCCTGTTGCATAGTTTGTCTTTCAAACTGCATTTGCACAGTGGTCTGAATTCATTACCTGCTTGGTGCCAGGATATCACTTTGTGGCAATATTTCCAACCTTATGAGAGAAAATTAATGTATTTGCATCCTTGAAATTATTGGAGTTCAAGTCCTATTGATATTAATAAAAAAATACCTGGTAATAATAATAACATAATAAAAGAAATCTGTTTGTGGCTTCATTTGTTGTCTTTCTTCTCAACAAACTGCAATACTTTCTAACATGTTATATTTATTATTTTTATTACATTGTTGTTGTTACTATTAATAGTAATATTTTTATTATTATATCATCAAAAATTAGATTGACTGGATGGTACTATTACATATTATTTGGCATTGTCATTTTTTATTTAGAATTTGCCTTTTCTCGTTCAAGAAACTGAATGAATATTAAGGTTTCTATTACTCAGAAAAAAGACAGCTAGGAAACCTTTTTAATGGCTATAGAATTTTTGGTACAGTTTCGTATCCAGGACTCGAGTGGCAGAAGTGTCTATACATTACGGTGTACCATGTAATCCTGGTCGGATTAATCTCATAAGTGAATAGTGTTCTATAGGAACATAATATATTAACTAGGGGCAGGGAGTGGGATAAATACATTTAATTTTTTTTCTCCCATGCTATGGTAACACATTAACAAGGGGGCTCTGACCAATTCGACTGGGACAAAAGGCCAGACCATTAAGTACATGTTTCCATTATACTTGATAGGGGACTATTTGATATAATAATAAATTTCACTTAAAATTATCATACAGCTATCTTGATCTATTACATTTATGCCTTCTATTTATAGATTTATTAAAGTAATTTTGAAATGTACAAAAATACACTATCATACAGAGAATTATTGCATTTGGTCTAAACATGAAATTTCCTGTCAATTTTTTGCAAATTTACAGACAAAAATTGTTGCAAAAAAAGTGAAAAATTGCTGGTAGTGAGATCCCTACTTTTTGTCTTATAATGTATTTATTACACACATTCTTTTCTGGTGTTTTGGTTTTAAAAAAGTAAATGCTCGAATGCTTTTTTTAATTCCTTCAAAAATAAAAAAATAGTAAGTGGAGAGAATAGAGTTTTTACTATAATTTCAAATCTATATCTATACTAATATTATAAAGAGGTAATGTTTGTATGTATGTAAGTTTCTTTGCAGCAGGTAATCTCCGAAACTACTCATCCGATTTCAAAAATTCTTTCACCAATATTTAGAATGGAACCTCAGGGTGGACATAGGCTGTATATTATTCCGTTAAACATTCATATAAATTAAAATATATAATCTAGGTTAAGGCTTTTATGTCCAACAGATGGCGCTACGCGTATGACGCCCTAAGTTTGCTTTTCTGTGAGGCATTATGCTTTTCTGTGAAAATGAACTAAAGCGGATCATCATCTATCTATTTATATAAATAAAAATGTAATGTTTGTTTGTTCCTACTGATTCCTTTGAAATTTTGACACAACGCTGCATTCGAATATGCACGTGTTTTTATATAATATACGTGTCGAAATTCCTCCCACTGAAGGGAGATGGTTAGGATTAAGGCTTACGGTAAAGAACTCTGCTTCTATTTATACTATTTTAGATGCGGGTTTTTGCGTTTTTGATTGCGTTTTAATAGGGTACGTCAACAGAATGTACACTAAGAAGGGATTTTTCGATATTCCTCCGCGGGGGCAGAGACAGAATTAAGGCATACCGTGAAGAACTTAGCTTCTATTATATTATTTTAGATGATGGGTTTTTGCGTTTTTGATTGTGTTTTAATAGGGTACGTCAAGAGAATGTACACTAAGAAAAAATTTTTAAAAAAATTTCCCCCACAGGGGAAGTGTTATACATTTATAATAGATACATTTTGAGCCACAAAAACGCGTGGAGGGGTCTGCTAGTTACTATATAAAGAGACAACATATTTTTTGTTTGTGACCACTAACTGCGAAAACTACTGAACCAATCATTACCAAATTTTAACTGTAGCATCTTTATGATTCCCGGAATATTTACTACTAATCAAACCTACAGATTTTTTATTAATTAAATAAAACTGCAAAGGATTTTTGTCTATTTCTCTCTCTCTCTCTCTCTTCACTAGATGGCAACACACGAATTAGTACTTTCTGTCTATAAGAAAAGTCTATTATTGAAGTTTACTATTATATTTGAAGAACTGACAATAAATTATAATTAGTTAATTAGCAAAATATTCAAGGAATTAAAAAAGTGATGTTGTCATGCTAGATGGCAGTTCATGTACTTATGGAGGGTTTTTGAATCATTAGGCATTAATTTCTGCAGGTAATTGTACAAAATATTCAAAATAGTTATTGGATTTATCTCAAGTGAATATTTTTCAGATTGATTGATAAATAATGTTGAGAGCTGCGAGTGCACAAATAGGAAGAAAAGTTCTAGAGCTGTTATTGTTCATAATTGTAGACAATGGGAATCTACAGCAGAGCGGTTTCAAAGACGAAGAGAACGAATTCATTGGGCTCAGAATTGAATGCGTATAGTGAGGAATTTTTTAGGTTTCAAATCAATATAACTTATTCAGAAGTTTTATGATTTTATTTTTTTATATTTTGCAATACTCTACAGCAATACTACACATTGATTACCCAAAAATAATGAACAATTACCGTATATCTGCGCAGATAAGACGATAGTTGAATCATAAAAAAAGGCCCCAAAATCTGGGGTCGTCTTATAGGACAGATACAAAAAAAATTAATTGAAATTTATATAAATTTTATAAAATAAAACAAATCACTCACCAATGTATTTAAATAGTCCATATGATGTTTTTGTGAATAGTCAAGGTCATCAGCCTGAATCAGTGTCAATGTTTGCAATAATTGTGAGGCAGTACTGTCAGATGCAAGAAAATAAACTTTGTTCATTCGAAAAATTACCAATAGCACAATTCCATATACGCTATGCTGTATTATCCAGATGATGATCGCTGATCTAAACTAAATTCATAGGGCATTGATAGTTTGGGGGTCGTCTTATATGACAGATACAGGTATATGCTAAAACTATAAAACTTTGATGAAAATTTATACCTCGTTTTATCTGAAGGTCGTCTTATCTGTGCAGATTTATGATAGTTCAAATTTTCCAAGTTCTATATGTATATAAGAGCAGGCGAGGCCGTGACGGGAGATGCTAGTTTTTCATACAACAAATGTACAAACATGTAACATACAGTGATGTTTTTTTAAGTCACATAAAGCATACAGATATTAGGTGCCATCTTTTTCTAAATTTTATAATTAATTTAGAAAGTTCTGGAAGAAAAGAATCTGCCTAAATATGACTCAAACTTGCAACTTACACTTACCATGAGATCACATTGCCAGTTAGGCTATCTGGATCTTTGTCTGGGTAATGTAACTGAAGCACACATAGATAATACCATACAGATTCACATTGTCAAATATTGATTCACCATTTATAATGCATGCTAATAATTTTCAGTAATAATTCTGCTAAATTAATTTAATGATAAATTATACCTGAAATATCTCACCAAATATATTAAAATATAAAACATTTATTCCTACTAAAACGATTAAATCTTGAAGGGAAAATATAAAACATTTTTACAACTCAGTTTAGGTTATAAGTAGTTATAAGTAATGACATCTAGATGGTTTTAAAAGATTAATAAAAAATTAAAACCCACTAAATTTACAATTAAATTAAGTATATTTTCTTTGATTATACAAATTATTCCAAATATCACTTAACATTTGGTCTGAATATTTGAAGTTCATCAAATATTTTTTTGATTATACAAAATTAACTTATTCTAAATATTATTTGATATTAGACCTTGACTGAAATTCATTAAAATGATTGGATTTTTTTTAATGAAGATATGCTGTAATATCTTCCATTTATAAAGATTATTTTTAATTGCCTATATATTCAATGAGAGATCATTTACAATACAATTAAATTTCTTCACATGACAGTTTGAATGATATTGACTGTAATATAACTGTGCTGCTGCCATTTGTTCCTTATTTTCAATCGACAGCTTATTTCACCTATATTTTTTTGATGGATTTTTTTTTTTTTACATGTGCATTCAATAATATGAAGTCTATTATTTTCAGTAGAATTAGTATGCCTTGTCAACGTCATCCTCTTGATTATGATATATAATTTAGGAACAATCATAATGCTATAATTTTTGTTTCAGACAATCCATCAATGTTTGATAATTTGTATTACATTTAAATTAGTTCTTACATTTTGATTATTTTTAGGAAAACTCAGTATTTTGTTGTAGTATATTTAACCATTTAATTAATTGTATAGGATAAATATTTAATAATATTACATTAATAAATTTATCAAATTGTTTTTAAACTCCCTAAGTTTATTCATTTTAACTATTTCCATATTGAATGCATTTCTTTTAGTACAGAGAGGAATGTTTGAATAGTAATCTATAAATTTATAAATATTACATGTAGAATTTTGAAAACTTTATTTGCAATGGTTGGTTTTTATTCTACATCTAAAGATGTCTTGAACAAGTTGTAAACATTTGTGTATGTTTAATTAATAAACATTTTCTCAGCAACAATAGTGCTTGAGTGTCGTCTAATATTATATGATTTCTTAAATCTATGAATATGTATTTTATTTGATCTCCTATACAAAGTAATGTCTTAAATAATTTAGTTTTTTTATCAAATTTTAATTCTAAAAGTCTTATGTATAGAATACAAAATAATCAAAATTTCAGCTTAAAACAATAATTTGAGAAAAACAAATGTTTTTAATAGCATTAAGCTACCATCCTTTTTATAAAATTATATGTTCTTTTAAATGTGGTTTGAGCAGGTATGATGTGGCCCAATGTACTCCATTTGGACACTATTTGGTCACTTACTCCACTCTTGAACACCAATCCAAAGGTGGGATGGGTGACTGGAATGGAGTAAGACCTCGATAGATCGTCAGAGTCGATAGATTGGAATTGATGGACTCCATAGATGGAACCTCCAGGAATTTCTGGAGTCCTCTAGTCCTTTTTTCTACTTCTATATACAGTAGAGCATTGATTATCCGATTTCGATCAACCGTCACATCAGTTAACCGACCATTCTAGTCAGCAAATTCAAATGTCCGCTAGTGATGTGGCGCTACAATATTTGGCCATGTCTTGGCTACTTAAATAGTACTTTTACGTGTTTTAGCTGGCAACACTGGCTTGACCACGAAAGGGGGCCAGTATTTAAATGAGGCTTAATTTTCTAATTTTTAATGATACAATAGTGACGATTATTATTTTAAAAATATTTTTATTAGGCTTAACATCGATGAAAATTTAATGCAAAATAGGTTAATAGCAATGTACTAATTACATGAGATATACTAATATACTATACTAATAATGTATATTTTCATATTTTTCGGTTATCCGACCAACCCCAGCCCCCAATTGAGTCAGATAATCGATGCTCTACTGTATATACAGAGTTTTGTGTAGTCTTGTAATTAAAAAAACTCATAAAAAATTTTGGTCATTAATGTGAAATTAATCTTTCTGTTTTTTTTTTTAATTTTAGAGCATTTGCTCAGTACAACAAAGATCAGTTGACACCTGTAAAGATAGATGGATCCGATTATCCAGTAAGATGACATAAATTTTAAGATTTATAATTAACATTATCTTAAGCTCAAATGCAGTACAATCTCAGTAATCTGACGGGTATGGACTGAAACAGATTAAGGAGGTTGCATGATTATTGGAAGTAAGGTAAATTCTATGGTTAATCATTTGGAATGAAAACATTTGTTTGCATGATATTAGTACATTGTATTAATTAAAAACACAAAGAATAGCAAGAAAATATAAAATGAGAGCAATTGTATGTTGTTATATTTTGGAATTCTCAGTGTATCACTGATTTTTTTAAAATATTCAGTTGTCTTCTATCATTGCTAGTAATCATGTAGCAAAGTTGGTGAATTACTACTAAATTTAGTAGGAAATTTAGTGAAAGATACATTATTTCTGGTGGAAAATTTTGAAGAGCTGATTTTTATATGGTATTGTGTTATAAGATACTGTACCTTTTTTCAGCAGCCTGAGATGACGAGTCTTACCATTTTTAATATCATTCCCAAAGTCAAGTTTTCTTAGCTCAGGCTCAATATCATACTAGGTTCATTTAGTGGAAACCAGAGCTTGGACTAGTGGGAAGTTTGTTTACAATTTGACAACAGAGCCAGTAATGCCTGAGAATCAATTAATGTTGAACTAGTAAATTGACAGATTACCAAGATTGTACTGTAATTGATTTTCTTATGTGATTTTACAGTATTTTAACTTTAAACAAAATCTGATTCCTCACAAACTATTTTTAAACATTTTTGAAAAATATATAGTTTAAAAGTTTATCTTGCTATCCAATTTTTTTTAATAAATATAATAATGACTTACTTTTCAGAAAGTTAAAATTTTATCATTTCTTCAGATATTTCACTAGCCTATATTGAAATTTAATATTTTTCATGTATGATTATTGGTAGCAAATGCAGAACTTCATGTAAGGAAACCAAGCAGCTATCATAGCCTATATTAAAACACACACATTTGAATGTATGGTCAAATATACATAAAGATGAACATTTTAAGATACTATTAACTTGACTATTTGACCATGCATTCAAATGTGTTCTGACACAGGCTATGACAGCTGCTTGCAGTTTCCTTACATGCAGTTTTGCATTTGCTACCAGTAATCAATCATACATGAAAAATATTAAATTTCACTATAGGATAGTGAAAAATCTAAAAAAGTGATAAAATAGCTTTGTTCATGTCAATCACAGTGTTTCCAAAGACTTTGTCAGGCTTTGGGTGATACTGATATTTGGTATCTGTTCATGGTATAGTCTTCCAAAAGGGAGTGATGTCAAATATCACAGTGGAGCAAGATGATTTGTCAGTGATGTACCAAGTACATTCAGCAATGGACTAGGGAAAGATTGAGTCTGGCAACGTCAGGACCACCAGCCAACTAACTAGTTAGTGTCAGATGATAATGATTCAAAAAAATTGGGTATAGGGGACAGTAAAATACAATGAACTGAACAGTTCATAGAGTAACTATCAAATATGCAGCAAAGAAAACTGGATGCAAGTGTAGTGCTCCGCAACTAAAATGCTTATTACTCGTTATGATGTGTATGTATATATGTATAGATCTATATATTATGTTTTCGTTTTTTTATTTTTTTGTTTTTTTGCTGTGTTGGGTTTTCTTGTTACACGTGGCCATCCCTTGTTCTGCACCACCTTTTCCTTGGTTGGGACAAGAGTTATGCAGCCTGCCAACTAGCCAATTGTTAGTCTGGAGGCAGGAGCTCTGCCCTGGGAATTATAAATAGGAAGACGGAAGTTTCATTCTGGTCCCTGGATTTTGGTTAGCAGAGAAGTGAAAGCGATGTGCATTAAGAGAAAGTGTAAAGAATTGTCTAGAATCAAGGCAAATGGGATGACTGAAGGAGTGAACTCAATCCATCCCCATCCAGTTGTGAATGAAGAGAAGTATGGCAATCTAGCAAAAAAAATAAGCCCCTTCAAGATTTTTAATGTTTGGACTTAGAATACCTTGAAATGTCAAGAAATGCAAAAAGATTTGGGGAGTAATTTCTGTATGTATTGATGTGTGGGGGGTACGATTTTGGGGAGTTTACCTTGTTTGTAGCTTAATAACTCCTGTGATTTTTGTCAAAAATTTCTGAAATTTTGCAGGGAGATTTGTTTGTTAGGGGATTGATGTTATTAAATTTTGGTGGTTAAAGATCAGAGGTAGGGAGATAATGGGGGCCGTGTGTATGTGCAATAGGGTCAGATTTAATGACTATTTTACTTGTTCTTAGCATTTACAATTTTTTATAAATCTCATCCCTATCCTCAAAATTAAGGTTTTTGTCATTTATAATAATTAAAAATATAAAAAGTTAGTAACTCTCAAACTGGGATCAGATCATATAAACACAAACAACTAAACCAATACCAGCAGCAACTGAACCAAATGTATATCTGATGATGTCTATTTCAAATAGATGAAAACATTAGTAAATATTTCCTTTATTTATTAATTACAAAGTGCTGGTAATGATTTAGCTATTTGTATATAAAAAGTTTTTAAATAAAATATGATAACAGATGGCATCACCAAAATTTTAAATGTTGCCAGGAAAGTTGAGCAACTTGTTGCTGGTTTACTATTTGTACAGTAGAACCTCGAAAACTCGGCCTAATGTGGACCGAAGGGTGGCCGAGTTTGTGAAAATGCCGGGTTATCGGGAATGGGGTTAAAAAAAATAAGTACGAGTGTTTCCTCAGAAAATACTGTACTGTACTTGTATGTATTGTTTACTTGAGAATATAACAGAGAATAAACTGCCCAAATACCCTTAAACAAAGAAAAAGTACGTCTTTTATGAAGGCATAGAGCCTTTACTACATGAAAATGAAAATTAATGAATACACTGTGTACAGTAATTTACCTGCTAAGACAGACCTCAGAAAAATACTTTATGAGAGCTTTTATACTTTTATAAAGCTGTTTATAATGAAAATTAATTAACTAAGGATTTTTTTGCCCTGCCAGGGTGTGGCCGAGTTATCCGGAGTGCCGGGTTATCGAGAGCCGAGTTTTCGAGGTTCTACTGTATGTGTTTTATATGTTGGAAAATAAAACTATTTTAATTTCAAATCTGCCTCTCTTTGTCTGTATCTATATTTTGCTTTGTTTATACATATTGCTTGGATAAAGATTCAATTTTTATTCACATGCTTTGTTTTGTTGTTTTTATTTACTTGGTTTTGTGTGGACATATTTCTTGGATATGGTTAGATTTTAGCATTCATTCAACTGCTTAGAAGTTTGGTATGAAAGCTCACCTTATAAGAGAACAAATTAAAAAGAACTACAGAATGTTCCTGACAATGAATCAGATGGTGGAGAAATTGATTATGAAAACAGTGGTGATTTTTTTTTTTTTTGTACCTTATGATCAGATTGATGATTCTGGAATTGCTGAGCCTTCTAGTTACTTAGAATATGATGGTGACATTACTAACACTGAGAGTCCTTCCTAGTCAAAATTATACTTCATGGACAAAGCATGATTGGATTTGGAATTATAATGTATCTCATAGTGCCTCTGTGCATTTTAGGACACCAGATTTTTTGTGAGACAAATTTCAATACAAAAGTTGATGATGATCAGTACATTGCACCAGACAGAACAGTTAACAACATAACAATTAGTATTTATCAAGCCAAAAAAATAAGTCTTGGTTACTGTAGGATTAAAAATAATGTAATTAGTGAAAAGAAAACATTTGAATCATAGTATATTATAAAAACACATCTTATTGTGCTGATATTCTAAATAATATGGCCAAGTAATATTATGTCAAAACATACTCTAAAAAAATGGCTTCTGCATTTTTTTTGTAATGTACTAGGTTTAGTTTCAATTAATGCATATGTCTTATACACAAATGTGTCAAAATTGCTTTAAAAGAATTTATATAGAAGCTCACTGAAGTAGTTGAAGAATTTATCTCCATTTTCAAGCACTGTTTAGAAAATAAAAAGATGATTTTTTCAAACAGAAGAAAATGCCAATTATTAGAAAGTTACGAAAAAAAAAAATGAAAATCACATGATCATTGAACAAATAACTTGCCTGCAATTGGTGTACATGTTAAACGCATCATTATTGTATAAATTGTATAAAAATAAAACGAAATTTTTCTTCTATTATTTATATAAATGCATTTTTAAAATTTAAAATACTCAAAAACTTCAAATTTTAAAAAAATGAAATGTAAAACTTGGATTAAAGTGCAGGTACAATTTGTCCCCTTTGGGCATTCTAGGGTAGGGCATTCTGGTGTTAAAAAAAATGTTTAAATGAAGTAGTGTTTAAAATTAGGTACATCTGCACATTGTGTTTTACTGAATTATCTTTTTCCTGTGTTTGCTTGATATCTGGTTGTTTATTTGTTTTATTAATGGCTATTATTATCCACCTGTAATACTAGACTTGTTATATCATTAATGGAATTATCACCTGTTTACGAAATCATCATCATTTATTGACTCATTTTTATATGGGGAATGATTTTGAGGTTTTTAAAAACCACTAAACCATTCCCTGTATAAAACTGTATATAAAAAATCCACAAAACTATTTTTTATATACAGTTATAAAATGGTTTTGCAGTTTTTTAAAATACAAGGGTGTTTCAATAACTCCTTTTATTTTTTTAAACAAGCATTTTAATGTGTATGCAAAAACATGAATAATAGTGAATGAAGTTTGAATTTCTGACAACACTATTGCATGATACCTGTCACCTGTCAAACATCTCTGATAAATAGAAAGAAAATAGCATGCATGCTATCGTTGTCCACGCTCCAAGAGCAACAAAGTGTTGTTCATTTTCTGTGGGCAGGGGGCAAGAAATGTGAACAAATTCATGCGGAAATGCAGAAAGTGTGCAGTGACAATTGTGTGAACTATTCAAATGCCCATCGATGGTGCAAAATTTTAAAAAATGGTCGTCAGTGTGTGATTGATGAGCACAGGTCATGTTGTTTGGTAAGTGCAGCTTTGTCTCAAATAGTTGCTACTGTTGATCAAATGATTCAAAGCAACCACTGCATTTGCT